TTTATTGATTGTAGATTTGTTTGTTTCATCCTGCTTTTTTGTTTCATTTGGTTATGTCTGAGTAGGCGGGCTATGTGTTCTTTGTTGTTTGCTCGTCTCTGGGCACGATACTTTTCACCTCCTTCTCCAATAGGCAGGGACAGTCACTCAGGTATGTTACAGCAGGGCTGGCCCAGCTGAAGGGGAGTTGCTGGGATGGGTTGTTTTTGGCACTTACCAGGGCTGACAGTGCGGACTGGGAATCTGGGCAGGGCAGGTTCCAGCAGGCCATGCCTGTGCTGCTTGGGAGTGTGATGTTCAGTGCACAGTGCAGGTAGGCAGGAAGAAGGGGGCTAGATTGTGATGTGTGGAGCTAAGATGGGTATGGGAAAGATGAGAGAGGAACAGGAGCCAAAAACATACACACAAACAAAAAAGAGTGCTAAGTGAGCTTGCTATTGGAGCGGAGAGATGAGAGACTGAGAAATGGGGAAAAACAAAAATGAAAACAAAGGGTAAAAGAAAAAAATGAATAAATCGAGAAACTAGAAATGAAGAAAGAAAAAAGGGAATAAGAGATAGAAGAAAACTAAACAAAGAAATGGATTAAAAAAAAACAAAAACAAACAAAAGAAAAAAGAAATGCCCTGAGGGATATCCCTGTGCATCTGCGCAGAGTAAGGGACTAGCTTCCAAGCCATGTGGTACTGCCTGGCTAGAAGGGGCCCCCAAGCCGAGAAAAGAAAAAGAAAACAAACAAATCAAAACAGAACAAATCAGAGCAAACAAAGAAGAAAGCCCCGCGGGTCCCACCAGCATGGCAGCACGGGCCGGGAAGCAGCTTCACAGTTGAGCGGCGTTTTGCAGCCTTTCAGGTAGAAGCAAAGATGGTGCATAGAGCCAGGTATTTGAGAGAAAGGAGGGGGAGGTGGTGAGAGGTAAGGAAGAAATCTAAAGAAGTGGAAAAAGCAACACCAGCAGCCAACAAATGGTACTCAGGGTGGAATCCAAGTGGCACTGAGGGGAAGCTCGTGCTTCCCAGCCAAGAGACTACGGCTGCAGGAAGCAGAGGAGGCCAAGTGGGGGTGGGGAAGCCTATATAGCGGGTTACTGGTTTTTCTGTCTCCTGCTGGAAGCTCCGTGAAGCTGCTTTCTTGTACCTCCTGTTCGCTGATCTCCAATAGGAGTCCAAGATGGCGGATCCGTGCTGCGGTAGCTGATAGGGGACCTCTGTATCTATCTCTCTTCACTCTCTGTTCTCGGTCAGTTTCTTGTTCCATTCGGTGCTTGGCTGAGTTCTTTATCGCTTCATTTGATGCTTAGGTTTCAGGATACACGTGTGACTCTGTTTGACTTAGTTTCTGATCTTTGCTGTGGAGGGACGGTGTGGTGCTTCTGACTATAGCACCATGTTGCCTGCAGAGCCACCAGTAATTTGAGAAACAACTTTGGACCATCTCTGTCAATAGTCTTCCTTACATTAGAGTTATAGAAGCTTTTGTGTTACATGTTTTCATAGTCTGTGTTCTGACCTCTTTTTTTTTTTTTTTTTAATACTTGTTTAAAGTGTTTGAGGGCTGGGTCAAGTCTTCAATTTCCTAAGTGCCTGCAGCTGTTTTGCAAACCTTTAACCAATGATGACCTAGTTACTGTGATGGGATAGCAGGTGGGCCCAGCCACAAAAAGTGACTTTAACAAGAAATGCTCTCGGCCTGCTCTCTAACCTTATTCTTTATCTTTGCAGCTTGTTGCCTACTGGGAAAAGACTTTCAAGATTGACCTGTTCAGGCCACAGATTGGGGTGGTGAATGTGACAGATGTGAGTGTCCTCTATGAAAGTTTGCTTGGGCACCCTCAGCCTGCTCTGTTTTCTGCCATGAGGCCTAGACTGTGAGATCATGTAGAAAAGTTCAGCCCCTTATGACACAAGCAGGACCCTTGGCCCTGCCTGAGCTCAGGCAGATTGCCAGTGTGGCCCATGCCTGGTCTCTGTGCCAGTCCCCATCTGGTTCCATGACTGTCTTCTGTGAGCTCCATTCCATACTTACGTGACCAGCCCAACTCAACTCACTATTTGGAACTTTCTACCCAAGTAAACGCTCCTGGAGCAGCCATTACACAACGGGTATAGGGTCAGCTGTTGCTCAGAAGCCCATGCAGATAACCACCCCACAGCCAGAACACCAGGCAGGAGAGCAGGCCTACAGAAAGGAAGGAAGAAAACGATGTGGGAGTCAGGGTAGGGGCATTGCCCCCACCATTCAGGCACCATTGAACTGAGGATGGGAAAGGCTAGTGAGGTGGGCTGGCAGAGTGTGAGGAATTGTCGACCTCAGTCCCCACACTGATGCAGGTCCATGATAACAAAACAGGAGCATGACAGATATAACCAGGCAAATGATGGACAGAAAGTGATGGTCACAGAGGATCCACTAGAGCCGTAATAAATTGTGATGGAATCTCTTGTGAGTGGGGGCCAGTTAGCATTATCCTTTTGCACTCTTAGCAGGTGCTTGGTCACCTGGAAAATTCTCTATTCATTTATTTTGTAAACTACTTTTTCAATTAATAAGTATGACAACAACAACAACACAAAATTTGCTCAAGATAGAACATTTTAAAACAGAACTGTAGGATATAGGATGAAAAGGAAAAGTATTTCCCACTGCCCTAACCCCATCCATAGTCCCATTCCCTGAGGGAACGACTGTAGTAGTTTCATGGGTATCTTACCAGAAATTTCACATATATAAAATGGAATACGTATTTCCTTTTGTATTATACAAACAGGATACTACACATACCATTTTTCAACTTGACATTTTTGTTTAACAATGTACACACATTCCTAATAAATATAAGTGACCTCAGGGTCCAGTCAGCACAGCTACTCATAGCCCACTGGTCTGGCTCATCCTTCACACACGCACTCACTCACTCTCTCATTCTGTCCCTCACTGCAGGCTGACAGTGTCTGGATGGATATTCCAGATGATGATGACCTGCCCACAGCTGAGGAGCTGGAAGACTGGATTGAGGATGTGCTTTCTGGAAAGATAAACACGGAAGATGATGACAATGAAGATGAAGATGATGATGACGATGATGATGACGATGATGATAATGACAATTCTGATGAAGATGATGATGACAGTGATGATGATGAATAGCCCCAACTCCAAATGATTCTGATAAAGACACAATCACATCTACCCACTATCATGCAGATAGCAAAGGGTGGCAGCAGGCAGCCATGCCCCACGCTCAGCCAGCTCCTTTCTTTCCCCCAACATCTGCTTTCCCACTCCCTTGTCATCAGGAGCAATACAATTCAACAAACAATGCCTTGCTAAATCCAGCAATCCCACCCGGCATGGGCCAGAAGGAAATTTCTCCTATGTTGACTGTCTTGAGTGTCATGAAACAGCTCTTGTTCTTTGCCAGACCATCAGAGGTCATGGCAGTCCTGGAGTCTGGTAGTCTGAGGAAAAGAGTCCCCTAATACCTCTACTCAAGTTTACTTGTTTCTGACTATGACAGTAACAGAATTGACATCTAACTCACAAGTAGCCATGACCTTTTAATCAGAGCCCAGGGAAGAAACACAATTAATCCATTTAGCACCTGTACCTAGAACATCAGTTAGGATCCCACCTCAAGCCAAGAAGATCCTTCTTGAGGAAGGCTCAACCTTGGAAACAAGATAAATCAACTTCTCTTAGCTTTATTGAACATATTATTTAATTATATAATGTGGGCCAGACCGTTATGAGCTCAGATTCAAGCCTTTGGATGGCTATTGAAGGGACTTGAAACACTTGTGTACAGGTGTCACCATCATTTCTAGCAAATCAGGATACTGGGGTGGGGGGTTGATTTGCTTTCTGAATTTCTCTCCAGATGACAAGTTTCATATATACACATGAGGGGGTGGGAGCTGGAAGGATTAAAGGCTTTTAATTTTGCTGATGAGTTCTTGTCTTTGACTTGGTCAGTTGAGTTCCTAGCCTGAGCTGGGATCTGGATTCCCCTTCTGTCCTTGCTAGTGAGCCAGTCCATTTTGAGTAAAGGTTGGTTTATCCAGAGGTCGATTCACTCTCCATTTATCAACACTCCCACCATTGACCAGTACATCAATAATCAGAGTTCATAATAATGCCCTGAGGCGCTGAAAAAAAATCCCAGAGTGCCTTCTGAACTGTCATAACAGTTATATTGTGCTCTGTAGTTTTAGTGCTAAGTGTGTACTATAATGTTCTAATTTATTCTCTCATTCTTTTGACACGTGTAAGACACTGTGCAAATTCTTTGAAAAAGGCCAATCCTTTTATGGAATAGTAGCTAACTAACTCCACCATTAAACTCATATTTTGAAAACACTGAGACTCTTGAAACTCTTCTCTCATTTCTTCTGAACCTGCTCATTCAGAGATATCCTGGCTCCTGTCCTACCTCTCTGATAGTTCCGTCTCTGTTACCCCTTCTGATCCCTCTTCCTTTGCCTGTCCTTGAAATGTTAGTGTTTCAGTTTCTCTTTCAACTCCATACACATTTCCAAGGCAATATTATCCATGCTCATCAACTACCACCCCTCCAAATCTGAGTCTCTAATCTTGATATCTCTCCTTGGTTTTAGACCTAGTCATTCAACTACCTCAGGTCATCTTGGTGTTTCCGTTTCCATTTCTCTTTCAACTCTATACTCACTTCCAAAGCAATATCATCCATGCTCATCAGCTACCACCTATGTGCTAATGTCCTCCAAATCCGAATCTCTAATCTTGACATCTCTCCTTGGTTTTAGACCCAGTCATTCAACTGCCTCTGGACATCTTCGCTTGCACATTGCACAAGCTATTCAAACTCGGTACAACAAAATCCAAACCCATTATCTTTTCCCCTCCTAAACTCATTCTTTTCCTCTTCACAGAGTCCCAGTTTGGATGAGTGATATTATCTATCCAGTTGCCTAGGTTATCTGAAGGTGCCCCCTTCACCTCTGCGCCCATGGCATTTTGTGCATATCCTGAATTGTGGCACTTATCATTTGTATCACTTGTAACATACATTTGTATGCCTGTCCTTTCCCTAAACTGTAGGCTCCTTGGTGGCAAGACATTCATCTTCATAGCCCCACACCTAGTACTTTGCCCAGCAAAAATTAGACACTTATTTATTGTGTATGGATGGATGTAGATGGGTGGATATTTCACTAACCAGAATATCTATAATTCCCCTACACTGCTGGGTATCAGAGCTTACAGTGCCTCCTTATTCATTTCTCCCCCCTCACAAAACAAAGCAGATGCTTCCCAAGCTGGGCTGTATTGCCAGCCAGCCAGGTCCAGCTGCACCTTCAATAAGATCTTGGGAAAGTAAATTTTCAAAGCCATCTTGAAGCTAATCTTACAAATAGCCAAGGAGTGTGGCCCATCATGAAAGTGAGAAAATTCCCTCATTCTCAGGGGCCTTAGTAATACGCATTAAGTCTAAATCACACGTAGCGCTTCTATATTAGAAGGACTGGATGTTAAGCTGGTACTGTAAGTAGTAGTGATGTTTAGTTATTGGTCTAGTTATTGGTCAGCTGATATTTATGGAACATTTTTTATATGCCTGGAGCACTGAGCTAAATGCTTTGTATATGAAGCAGGGACATCACCCATGCCCACACTACTGCTGGGTGGCCTCATCTCTGGCACTGGTGAAAGGAGACAGTGGCCTTACCTGGTGCCATGCCAATGTCCCTCATTCCACTTCCATAATCTGTTTATCATCTGAGGTATTAAAAACTCTTTCAAATTTCTATAGCCCTATCATGGGTAAGTAGTTCCTGGGTGGTGTTAAATGTTTGGCTGCTAACTGAAAAGTCGGAGGTTTGAGTCCACCCAGAGGCACCTCAGAAGAAAGGTCTGGCAATCTACATCCAAAAAATCAGCCATTGAAAGCCCTGTGGGGCAGAGTTCCCTTTAAATAGCTCTATCTAAAATAGATCCATCAAAAATATCTAGAAGTCTTAAATAAATCAATAATTTAATTACCAAATCTTTCACAAAAAGCACCCAATATATCCTCCCAAATTCAGGCGTCTGATATGTTTCTCCCACCCTACTTAACTCAAAAGATCTTTTGCTTGCTGGTTTACTTGGAAAGCCTGCTTCATTCCCAAGTTGTATAGCCTAAGGATTTAATTTTTAGTCATCTGTCATGGTTTGAATTATGTCCCCCAAAAAACGTGTGTATCAATTTGGCTAGGCCATGATTCCTGGTACTGTGTGATTTTCCTGTATGTTGTAAACCTACCTCTATGATGTTAATGAGGGAGGATGGGTGGCACTTGTGTTAGTAAGGCAGGACCTGCTCTACAAGACTGGATTGTGTCCT